CGGAATTAGCTTTTTATCTAAGCTACAAGATGAAAAAAACCCGGAGCCAAAATACCGAAGGACGACTGAGAAAACTTGTAAAATAGTGAAAACTAACGATTTGACCTAGATTTTGACGTTTGACCTAGATAAACATTTGACCTAATTTCCCAGAAACTAGGTCTCATTACCCAGTTGACTGTGTTAGCAGATTTAAGTAAGTCCTTCTAGTTGCTGAGAAAACTGGTTCGGAAAGAAAAATAATAATAACTAGACATGTAAATTGAACAAGTTCAATTTAAGACTCCAGATTTAATTCTTTTTTTAAGCTGAGTCATCCAGAATACTTGTAAGCTGAGTCATCCAGAATAAGCTGATCGAGTCAGCTAGAATTTAGACATTTAGACAACTCTCCATTTTTTATCTTCGACTCCATTGGCTTAACATGGGGATATCATCATATCGACTTTTCGAGACTTCAAACCGCTATAACTATCTAACCAGAAGTTAGATTGTATTTTGGTTTAAAGATTCGGACTCCTGAGAAAATTCCACCCTTAATTCATAACTCATACATTAAATTTGGAGATTTTTTTATTTTGACCTACTTTTTGGACACCATATCTCAAAAGTGGGTCAAAATACTTTCTGACAGCAAAAGGCTATCACTATAAGCACACTCTTTGCTACCTGTATACAAAATTTCGAAGCAAATCATTAAAGTGTAATGTCATAATCGCAAAAATAAGCAAAATTATGAATTTGCCCTAGATTTTGACCTTGGCATTTTGGTGTCCAAATTTTAAAGCTAGATAGCCTTCGAGGTCCCCTTCTTTTAAAGGCTTTCAGAATGTTAAGCTGTACTCAGTCTATATCTGGTCTTTTAGACTTCAAAAAAATCTTTTTCCCTATTGACATAACATGGGGCACCAAATTTAGCAATTTTTGAGCTTTCAAAACGCTATAACTTTCAAACAGAAAGTCGGATCGAAATTTGGTTTGCAGATTCAGATTCCTCAGAAAATTCTATCCTTATTTCATAACTCATATGCTAAATTCGAAGAACTTTTATTTTGACCTACTTTTGGGACACCATATCTCAAAAGTGGGTCAAAATACTCTCTGACGGCAAAAGGCTAACACTATTAGCACACTCTTTGCTACCTGTATACAAAATTTTGAAGCAAATCCTAAAAGTGTAGAGCCAGAATCGCAAAAATAAGGAAAAACTATGAATTTGACCTAGATTTTGACCTAGGCATTTTGGTGTCCAAATATTGAAACTAGGTAGCTTTTGAGGTCCCTTTCTTTTATAGGAATTCATTATCTTAAGCTGTACTCAATCTATATCTCGTATTTTACACTTCAAAAAAATCTTTTTTCCTTGACTTCAGGATAACAGGATAACATCAGATCGATTTTTCTCGAAATTTCAAAACGCCATAACTTTCAAACCGGAAGTCGGATCGAAATTTGATTTAAAGATTCGGATTCCTGACAAAATTCTACCCCTTATTCATAACTCATACGTTACATTTGGCGAATTTTTATTTTGACCTACTTTTCGGACACGCCATAACTTTGGAACCGGAAGTCGGATCGAAATTTGGTTTGCAGATTCGGATTCCTGAGAAAATTCTACTCTTAATTCATAACTCATATGTTAAATTTGGAGAACTTTTTATTTTGACCTACTTTTCGGACACCATATCTCAAAAGTGGGTCAAAATACTCTCTGACGGCAAAAGGCTTACACTAATAGCACACTCTTTGCTACCTGTATATAAAATTTTGAAGAAAATTATTAAAGTGTAGTGTCAGAATCATAAAAATAAGGAAAAACTATGAATTTGACCTAGATTTTGACCTAGGCATTTTTGTGTCCAAATTTTGAAGCTATGTAGCTTTTGAGGTACCCTTCTTTTACAAAAGTTCATTATGTTGAGCTGTACCCAGTCTATATCTTGTACTTTACACTTCGAAAAAGTCTTTTTTCCCATTGACTTAACATGGGGCACCAAATTTAGCGATTTTTGAGATTTCAAAACGCCATAACATCCGAACCAGCAGTCGGATCGAAATTTGGTTTGCAGATTCAGATTCCTCAGAAAATTCTACCCTTAATTCATAGCTCATACGTTAAATTTGGAGAACTTTTTATTTTGACCTACTTTTCGGACACCATATCTCAAAAGTGGGTCAAAATACTTTCTGACGGCAAAAGGCTAACACTATTAGCACACTCTTTGCTACCTGTATACAAAATTTTGAAGTAAATTATTAAAGTGTAGTGTCAGAATCGTTAAAATAAGGAAAAACTATGAATTTGACCTAGATTTTGACCTAGGCATTTTGGTGTCCAAATTTTGAAGCTATGTAGCTTTTGAGGTTCCCTTCTTTTATAAACATTCATTATATTAAGCTGTACTCAGTCTATATCTTGTATTTTACACTTCGAAAAAGTCTTTTTTTCCCATTGACTTAACATAGGCACCAAATTTAGCGATTTTTGAGCTTTCAAAACGCCATAACTTCCGAACCGAAAGTCGGATCGGAATTTGGTTTGCAGATTCGGATTCCTGAGAAAATTCTACTCTTAATTCATAACTCATACGTTAAATTTGGAGAACTTTTTATTTTGACCTACTTTTCGGACACCATATCTCAAAAGTGGGTCAAAATACTTTCTGACGGCAAAAGGCTAACACTATTAGCACACTCTTTGCTATCTGTATACAAAATTTTGAAGCAAATTATTAAAGTGTAGTGTCAGAATCGTAAAAATAAGGAAAACTATAAATATGACCTAGATTTTGACCTTTGACCTAGATAAAAATTTAACCTAATTTCCCAGAAACTAGATCTCATCTCCTAACTGACCCTGTAAGTAGATTTGAGTAAGGTCTTCTAGTTGCTGAGAAAACTGGTTCGGAAAGAATAATAATAATAATAATAAAACTGGCAAAAGCAATAGACTCCAGATTTTCAATCTGGAGTCTAATAATAATAAGAAAACTGGCAAAAGCAATAGACTCCAGATGAAATCTGGAGTCTAATAATAATAAAGAAAACTGGCAAAAGCAATAGACTCCAGATTTTCATCTGGAGTCTAATAATAATAAAGAAAACTGGCAAAAGCAATAGACTCCAGATTTTCATCTGGAGTCTAATAATAATAAAGAAAACTGGCAAAAACAATAGACTCCAGATTTTCAATCTGGAGTCTAATTAAGTCATAGTCTCTTGTCACAATTTGTGAGTGGTATTTTTGGTTATATAATATGAAGCATTATTTTTTGATTTGTCATAACGATCAAAGGTAACTGATTGAGTCATTTTAATTTGTTCTCATTTTAACAGTTTGTGTCAGATTGAGCTGCTTGCTCATTTTGGCATTCTATCATAAGTCTGCTGATGACCTCATAACATGAAGTAGAGGATGAGTCATTCATAACATAACGACACACAAATTCTTACATGCACAACCAAACATTTAGTGCCGATGACTGGTGCTTATGTGCCATTTCAGGATACATATGATACATATAAGTGTTTTTATTACTCTTAGCATTGGACGTGACCCAAACTATTGTCCAATATGGTCAGAAAAAAGACAGATACCATTACTAACATATGTGATCATATATGATAACATATTGCGTTGCGTCACATATCTAGATTGATACAGACGTTGACCTGGCTGTGCCTCGATGTTGCATAAGAAATCACAATGAACATTAACAACGATGCATGCGAAAGCCCATTCTAATACTTAAAGTATCTCTCTCTGTTGCATCGCAGAAGGATAGAAATGGAGATGAGAAGGCGTTGCTTACCACGATGGCGAAAGCCAGTGTACAAAAACAAACACGTTAGTGAAACATAGAATGTACAACTTATGGCGAACAGTTAGATGTGTTTATCCATTAAATGTATACAAATTAGATTTTTGTAGATCTGTACAGGTTCGTCCGACAGATTCCCCAAGGGTGGCGACTTGTGCTTATAATATCGATGGGTTTGTGCCACCGACACGCCAGGCGCGCGGAATGCTGGACCAAGTACGCAAAGCGTCGCCAAGTCACAAGCTCGGGGGGGTCTTGGTCAGAACGCACACCCAAGCAAAGCACCGCAAGCTAGGTGAACGCCCCTAATGCCCCTCCCCGCGAGAGGCCTGCTGTATATGGAATAATGTAACACTTTTTGTTTGAAATGTCTGCCTTTTACAGTGTTCCCTAAGTTACAGAGTGACGCAAAAACCCAACCGTATGATTCTTATTTGGCACATATGCGTGATGCGTACGGATATACTCGTGAATACAATATAAGTTAAGAGGAGGGAAAGCCCTAGGGAGATAACAGACAGCATGGCGTCTCTTGCTTAGCACCTTTGTTTGTTCGAATTTTCACAGGCTAGTTTCCAAATACTACGCTTCAATGTGATATTTTAATTGATGTAGGCATATTCCGTACACCTTTTTTATCTTGACATGAAATAAGAAGCTATGATATTGGTTAACGCCAGATATAAACATAATATATAATATCATTCGAAGTGTATTTCGAAAATTTTAAGGCCACCATTCTTTGTCGATGCTTTTGACCAATCAGAGACTTAAGTTATCTCAATACAGGTTCACATTATAAGCGTTGGTTATCTTTGAACTCTGGGGTTACCCCCCCCCCCCCCTGATATATTATTCAATGCTTTATTGTACTAAAAATCCCTTTCGGGTGAGTGTACAGCAAATAAACATGATAAAATAATAATAAAAATATACATACAATTACAATAACATACAATGCAAATTTTACATGGCATATAATGACAATATAATGTGATTGAGATGTGTTTATCTCAAAGATGATGAACATCTATAAGTACCCTTTGCATTCGTTTGACTTCACTTCTTAAAAGAGAGCTTCGTCTTCGTAGTTTAACTAGACTCTGCACGCAGGGTAATCTATAAGTAGATGTTCATCAAGAGAGTAAAATGATTTATGATTTAATTCATACTCACTTGGTATACAGTAGTACATGACTTGGTTATAGTTGCTGTATGCGCTACACCGTGGCATCCATGCCACACTAACTGTGATACTGCATGACTCTTTGCCAATGCACTCTTTATGAAGTTTTTCATCTGTCTCAGATGTAACAGGCTCTGTGCAATCACCCTGTAAGAAGAATAGAAAATAGTTATGGCTTATTTAAATTACTTCGATATTACATATTCCATTTATGGAAACCACAACCATAAAACTCAAATGGATCATAGTCACTTACATTTCTTATGAATCATACCAAGACTACGCTCAAAAGATTCTATGTGTTTTTTCGATCATTTGCCAAATGTGCGTTCTATTAACTTGTCAATACAACAATCATATGCATCATCCAGCTATTTGATAATACATTTGGTCAGTAAGAGCAGGTCACGATATTGCATGTTTGAATCTACATGTATGCCTTATCAGAAAACAATTGAAGAATAAATAAACGAACAGACAAATTAGAATATATTAGTACATGTATATTACTATAATATGATATATCAACCCATTCCTGGAACTAAATATATTAGCAATAACCACAAGAAACCATTCAACCCTAAATGCCCCGTATGAGGCTTTGGGCTATATTTAATAGTTTGGGTCTGATAAAAATGTCTGTACCTGAAGGTAGCTACATTGGCCTGGGGATCTACTGATCCCTTGAAGAGCAGTCGTAATGAGGATCATGTCCCCTGGTTTACATGCGTCAAAGTCCAGCTTAGGCACACCAGGCACACTGAAGCATTTGTTTGCCGTTTGTTGCGCTGGAAATTGCATTTACTTTTAATTTTCAATCCGGTATGAAAGTAAATTGTTTGTACACGGATTGTAATATTTCAAAATATACTTCAATGAAACTTTACATGTTTTGCTTTCGAAAGATATATTATTATACACTACAAATATTACTTTTATTTTGACGCCTATGGTATGGGCGTTATTCTTACTCATAGTTTTAAAATTATCCAATGGTCCGTAAAAAGAACTTCTCTGGTATGCATGTCAGTTTTTAGTTACAATTTAAAGATCCATGAGAAAGATCTCTTATAGAGTGTGTAGAATAAAGATATACTTACCATATTGTCCATATGTCTGTAGCACTATTTGACCAAGGAATAAAGTCCCGAGTATAATATTTCCAAAATCCATCTTAAAACGGTCACTTAGTCCAAATTAACATAAATATCTCTTTAAAATACTCAGTAAATAGTTCAAAATCATCATGTATTCCAATATCTACATTTTTTCTTAAAGGAAATATCAGTTTAAAATTGTTTAAATCTAAATGTTAAACATGGAGTGCTGGATCTATGATACCTCCCAACTGTTACATTTAGAATACCTTTGCGACTTTGGGTGTGTGAGTAGAAAATTAATTTATTGTAATAAGTTGGCCACAGATGTCACGTTAATATTATTTAAGTTCTAACTATGTATAATAGAGAATAAATGTCATGTCAATAACCCCTCTTTTAGAAGTCACTTTTATTATTTCATAGTATGTTTATTCACTCTCCTGATATAAATTTTGTTTAGCCCAAAATTAATGATGTTTAAGCAATACAGCAACTGAATAAATCATTAGGTAAATAATCAGAAACATAAACAAACAAAAATGAAAAATGTGAAAAATGTGATCCATTTTGATACTGACAACGAGAAGTTATTTAAATTATTAATTATATTTTGAAATGAATCAAATTTAATAGTAATACTATCTCACTTAATGATAGAAAGGTTATTGAAAAATCGCCCAAATCGCCCCCCGAGTTATCCAAAAATTGATAGTCAACAATAAGGTATCCTTAACTAGTTTGTCTAATGTCTGGATGTATTATACCTCATGAGTAAGTCATGGGCACCTTTTAATTAATATGATTCAATCATAATTAATTGTTCGCTATTACTGTCAGTGCCTCACTCAATTAAACATTATATTAATGTTTTTCAAGGCAGACACTGATTGGTATTCGTATATAGTTGATGCCTTGTCAATCTGAAGTATATATTATACTGTATTGTACTTTATTTTGTTTAAGTAACGGAAATCATGTTTATCACAAAATGTCAAAAATGTACATCCCGAGGTCACGTCGACCTCGATTCGACCTTTGTTGACATACCCTGTTGAAAAACCAATACCTTATTAAAGGGGTAATTGAACAAGGTTAGCAACAATACCACCATTATGCCTTGGTCACATTTGCTCAGATTTTCACTACGGCGCCCGGCCGATTGAGTATTTTGTTAAAAATTAAATACAATATTGAATAAAACACTCAATCGGCCGTTCGCCGGCCGATGGATCGGAAGAAATGTGACCCAGGCATTACTGAAATCAGAAAAGTAGTTTTCATTCGCCGAGTGATCCAAATATCCCCCCGACTGCGACTTCGTGTTATAAAAAAATGTTCAGTGTTAATGTGACTTGCATTTTATAATGGGATTAAGCATAAATTTCGACCTGATTTCGAAGTAAAGATTCAAATTTGTATAGTCAGGCTTTTAGAACAGCCATCCAACCGAAGACCAGGGTTCCCAAACTTTTTGAGGGGAGTGAGGAGGGGCGGAGATGCGTTAGGTGCAACACTTTCGGAGCAAATTCCCGGGGATTTCGTTCATTGTTCAGAGGAGAGGGAGATTCTGTGTTAAAAAGACCTAAGTGCTCAGATGGCGAGAGGTGGAGAACCTATTTTTCAAGTGCAAGCTATGATGACGTGGTCTGTTTTTGGCGTCTTTGAAAAAGTATACGTAGAGTATTCTCTCTGAACATTTAAAGAAAACCTATTATGCACACAGTACTCAAGCTATTGCATCGACCCATGACAGAAATGGTTTACCCATTGCGTTTTGTCATTATTTCAAAGGAATGCGATATGACTGTACAATACACATCACAATGAGCCAATATATCACTTATTGTATACTTATGCTCGTAGCACATGCTAGAAATAAGCTTAATGCTTTTTGAAGATCAATCCATTACCAAAAATATGGTCCAATACCTTTGATATTGAAAGGAAATGAAAAATAAAAAATGAAAATCACCTCCATTTTAAAATGGAACTTTCTATATTAATATTTTAAAATTCTACGCAGGGCCCTAGTGAAAAGTTATAAATGTTATCGTGTAAAAAATCAATAGAAAAAATTTGATGAATAAAGAAAAATTCCCATGGAGAACTTACTTCAGCAACTCTTAAAGTAAGCAAAATATTCTCAAAATATAGAGCTGTTAAACCAAACAAAATCATTTGAAACTCATGTGTGGCAATATTTTAACAGTAGAAACCAAGGATGTACAAATAAGGGCAAAAAGTATAATGGACCGAAGAAGGTGAAAAAAATTAAAAACATATTTTAGGTTAAGAAAAAAGCAGAGGAAATAGTAAAGTAATGAATTCATCGTAGAATTGAGGATAACTTGTATACCAATTCCAATAACATCTAACAAACTAGAAATCGAAGATTGCAAGCACTCTCACATGGGACAACTGAAGACGTATGTTGAGAGTCTGCCGTCGTGGGTCAAAAATAGTCCTGAAGAAAAACGGCGCTCTGGACGTCAATATAGAGGCTTTTCCATCTTCAGGGGTAACCTTCAAACGCATATGACCCGATAACTAATGGGCCGATTTCAATTTGGTTTACAATTTTGAAATGCTTAGGATGTTTGCTTTTAAGGCGTTTTGTTTACTTTTAAATCTAGCGTTTTAAGGAGACCCTACAGGTTCAATTTTATGAAATTCTTTTGTTCAGCTTTCATCTAACACCAGCCCCGACACACATATAAAAGACCCATTTATAATTCTGACCCAAGCTTTAGCCACAAAAGCTAGTTTACACCCTAAACCTAGCTGGTTTTAATCCGAACCCTAGATTTAATCCTAACCCTAGATCTAAACCTAACTCCAACCCTAAAACTTACCCTTGCTCAAGCATTAAAGCTAATCCTATCTGTAACCCCGACCCTATTTGTTAATCTGTGATATATTTTTACGTTTGCCCAGAACCGAAGTTCAATACTGGGGCATACTTTGTAACGTCACGAGTGATGAACAATTGCGCTTTTCTATAGAATTCTCAATGAAAAGACGTCAAAAAGCTACATGGGACATTTTTGTACCTTTTTCTTTCGCATCGTTTGACAAGTTATCATGTTTGAAAATATTTGAAATTTTCCACGATCAAAATATATTAAAAACCTATTTCTAAAATGTTTTTATTTTGATATATTTCTTAATTTTAATGCGTGCACGTGATGGCTGGATTTCAAGTGTACGCATTTTTAAGCTAAAAATACTAAATGGGACATTTTTCGTACCCTACATATCATTTGATATTTAAGAAATTTGAAGGAAATTTAATATTTTTTCTTCAGATTTATTAATTTTAGCCAAAACCTTGTTTCTAATTTTAATTTCAGCCTTTAAAAGTAATTAATTCTAAAATAAATGGCATTTTGCTTCCCTTGGGCTCGTCAAAATACCCAGCGTGACGGCCTTTGGATTTTGTTTGAAGTTGAAAAATCAGCGTCACATTCCATTGTTACCTTAAAACTAATGACGTCATAATAAAGATCATTGTCTCAGGAAATGAACCATACCTGTCTCATCAAAATTGATGAAAAAATCATGATTCTACATCATTTTGAAAAATAGCGCGCTCCTAAAATGTTACGCGTGACGGCATATTTCTAACGTTTTGACCCACGAAGGACGCTCTAAAATGCTCTAAAATGAAAAATTCCATGTAAAATATACAATTGAGGTTTTAGAGGGTACCTATACAAAGATTTTGATATATAACATGAGTATGTTCGCTTTCCGAACTTTCCAGATATTTACATGGTAAGAACATGGCACGTCAAAATTTGAAATATGCCCCAGTTTTGAACTTCGGTTCCCAGCAAAACATTTATGGATATTGATTGTTCCGTTTGGGAAATATTGGATATTTGATTCGTCATGAAGCTCTGATGCGATTTTTGTCTAGACGAAATTTCAATGTTAAGAGGTTCGTTGGCCAGACATCCCTTTACTAATTTGTGAGTTTTTTTAGTATATATTTTTACATTTGAACAACTTGTGGATTGATGTTTCCGTTGTGAGATATTGGATATATAATTCATCATATATCGCTGGTGCACTTTGTCGTCTTTACGAAATAATGTAAAAATATTCTAAAGTAAACTCTAACGTGTCACAGGTGATCGGTCCAAAAATTGGCATTCCGTCCAGAGCGCAAAGAGCAGATCAGAGCTTTTTTGACAAATTAGATCTCACAAATGGAAACATCAATCAACAAGTCCTTGGTAGAGCAAACGTAAAAATATACTACTTAAACGTCTCAAAAATTAGCAAAGGACTCGCTAATACCATCGCTGCGTACCTGTACGGCTGGTCCGAAAATTGACATTTCGTCTAGAGCGCAAAGTGTATCAGATATTTAAGACGAATTGGATCTAAAACGGGAACATCAGTCATTAAATCCTTGATTGAACAAACGTTAAAATATATATATATCGAATCGTCTCACAAATTAGCAAAGGACTCGCTAATACCAGCGTGACGTAAGACTGACTGAAAATTGGCATTCCGTCTAAAGCGCAAAGAGTAGATCAGAGCTTTATGACGAATTAGATATTGAATATCTCACTAATGGAAACATCAATCAACAAGAACTTGGTAGAGCAAACGTAAAAATATATCCTTAAACGTCTCACAAATTAACAAACAGCATGCTGCCACCAGCGTGACGTACAATCGGTCCGAAAATTGACATTTCGTCTAGAGCGCATGCTGCATCAGAAATTAATTACGAATCGGATGTTAAATATCTCACGAATGGAAACATGAATCAACAAAGTCATTTATTGAGAAAACAAACAAATGTATCCTAAAACGTCTCACAAATTAGCAAAGGACTCCGACTGGTCCGAAAATTGACATCTCGTCCCAGAGCGCAAACTGCATCAGAAATTGATGACGAATAAATATTATATATCTCCCGAACGGAAGAGTCAATCAACAATTCCATGGTAGGTCAAACGTAAATTTAAATATTCAAACGTCTCAGATATTAGCATATTTCTGGCTGCTACCAGTTCAAGGAACGACTGGTCCGAAAATTGGCATTTCATCTAGAGGGCAATGAGCAGATCAGAGTTTTAGGACGAACGAATTAGATATTGAATAAACATAGCGCGCAAACTGCACCAGACATTATTTACAAATTAGATGTTGAATAGATGTTGAAAGGAAAAGTCAATCAACAAGTCCATGGTAGGACAAACGTAAATACTCAAACGTCTCAGAAATTAGAAAAATACTCGCTCCAACC